TCATTAATTTTTAATTTATATTTTTAATTAAATTATTTGGTTATTTTAAAATAATGGAATTTTTAAAATTATATGTATATTCTATTTAAGTTTTTTTTCAAAACTAAATTGATAGTAAGTATAACGATATTGTGAGTACTGGATTAGGGAAAAGGCTAACATCTTATATGCAATTTTGAATATTTTTATATCATTATACTCAGAATTAAATTTCCTATCTAAATATGCTTTGATGTATATTTTCACGTTATTGGTTCAAAAAATAAATTTTAAAAATTTTTTTGTGGTAAAAACGTTGGAAGGGAAAAGGCTAACATCTTATATGCAATTTTGAATATTTTTATATCATTCTACTCAGAATTAAATTTCCTATCCAATTATGCTTAGATGTATTTTTTTACGTTTCCGGTTCAAAAAATAACATTTTTATCGCGAAAACGTTCGAAGGGAAAAGGCTAACATCTTAAGTTTAATTTTATAAATTTTTATATCATTGAACTCAGAATTAAATTTCCTATCTAAATATGCTTTGATGTATTTTTTTACGTTATTGGTTCAAAAAATAAATTTTAAAAATTTTTTTGTGGTAAAAACGTTGGAAGGGAAAAGGCTAACATCTTATATGCAATTTTAAATATTTTTATATCATTCTACTCAGAATTAAATTTCCTATCCAATTATGCTTAGATGTATTTTTTTAGTTTCCGGTTTAAAAAATAACATTTTTGTCGCGAAAACGTTCGAAGGGAAAAGGCTAACATCTTTAGTTTAATTCTATAAATTTTTATATCATTGAACTCAGAATTAAATTTCCTATCTAAATAGGCTTTGATATAATTTTTTACGTTATCGGTTCAAAAAATAAATTTTAATAATTTTTTTGTGGTAAAAACGTTGGAAGGGAAAAGGCTAACATCTTATATGCAATTTTGAATATTTTTATATCATTCTACTCAGAATTAAATTTCCTATCCAATTATGCTTAGATGTATTTTTTTACGTTTCCGGTTCAAAAAATAACATTTTTGTCGCGAAAACGTTCGAAGGGAAAAGGCTAACATCTTAAGTTTAATTTTATAAATTTTTATATCATTGAACTCAGAATTAAATTTCCTATCTAAATATGCTTTGATGTATTTTTTTACGTTATTGGTTCAAAAAATAAATTAAAAAAATTTTTTTGTGGTAAAAACGTTGGAAGGGAAAAGGCTAACATCTTATATGCAATTTTGAATATTTTTATATCATTCTACTCAGAATTAAATTTCCTATCCAATTATGCTTAGATGTATTTTTTTACGTTTCCGGTTCAAAAAATAACATTTTTGTCGCGAAAACGTTCGAAGGGAAAAGGCTAACATCTTAAGTTTAATTTTATAAACTTTTATATCATTGAACTCAGAATTAAATTTCCTATCTAAATATGCTTTGATGTATTTTTTACGTTATTGGTTCAAAAAATAAATTTAAAAAATTTTTTTGTGGTAAAAACGTTGGAAGGGAAAAGGCTAACATCTTATATGCAATTTTGAATATTTTTAGATCATTCTACTCAGAATTAAATTTCCTATCCAATTATGCTTAGATGTATTTTTTTACGTTTCCGGTTCAAAAAATAACATTTTTGTCGCGAAAACGTTCGAAGGGAAAAGGCTAACATCTTAAGTTTAATTTTATAAATTTTTATATCATTGAACTCAGAATTAAATTTCCTATCTAAATATGCTTTGATGTATTTTTTTACGTTATTGGTTCAAAAAATAAATTTAAAAAATTTTTTTGTGGTAAAAACGTTGGAAGGGAAAAGGCTAACATCTTATATGCAATTTTGAATATTTTTATATCATTCTACTCAGAATTAAATTTCCTATCCAATTATGCTTAGATGTATTTTTTTACGTTTCCGGTTCAAAAAATAACATTTTTGTCGCGAAAACGTTCGAAGGGAAAAGGCTAACATCTTAAGTTTAATTTTATAAATTTTTATATCATTGAACTCAGAATTAAATTTCCTATCTAAATATGCTTTGATGTATTTTTTTACGTTATTGGTTCAAAAAATAAATTTTAATAATTTTTTTGTGGTAAAAACGTTGGAAGGGAAAAGGCTAACATCTTATATGCAATTTTGAATATTTTTATATCATTCTACTCAGAATTAAATTTCCTATCCAATTATGCTTAGATGTATTTTTTTACGTTTCCGGTTCAAAAAATAACATTTTTGTCGCGAAAACGTTCGAAGGGAAAAGGCTAACATATTAAGTTTAATTTTATAAATTTTTATATCATTGAACTCAGAATTGAATTTCCTATCTAAATATGCTTTGATGTAATTTTTTACGTTATCGGTTCAAAAAATAAATTTTAATAATTTTTTTGTGGTAAAAACGTTGGACGATGCTGTAGGGGAGGGGCCTATCGGATATCCTCCCTTAGCGATTTTTAATTGTGGGCCGCCTATTGGGGCATCACAGTTTTTGAGTTATTACTCTTAAGCCAAGGTTATGTTAATTTTATCAGCTATATAATTAAAATCAGATATTATCATCCGTTAAGCGTTATTTTGCGTATATATTTATTGATTATTATCTAATATAAACTAATTGCTAAATATAAAAGCGCCGGTATGAATAATATATAAGTCTGTGTGTTTGTGATATTAAGGGAGGGGGGCGGGAGGGTACGTTCCTCGGGGCCTGTGATGCGTTCCTCGTTGGCTAATAGATTATCTGAGGTGATCGCATCCTCCACGTTAGATAGAATTAGCGTATCATAGAAAATTGCTGGGTCGAATTCCTCTGCCATGCCATCCAAGTTGGAGATGTTGGGCATATCGACACCATCATCCAGGGCATAGCTTGATCGATTGGGGGTAAGCCCTCCACATCGATGTCATGCAGGATATTGTGCGCCGACTCGTTGAGGTCTCATTATATTCTTGGCTGGGACGAAGGGAAACGGCTTCATCAATGTCGCTACTACTGCTTTCGGGTAGGCTCTAATATAATCGATAGGCGGTGATTCCTCCGCGTTAAGGATCGTATGATAATGTGTAAATAATGATGGATCATATATATAATTTTAATAATATAAATATTTACAATATTAAGATGATGCAACAGTTCTTTTTATTATATGTAGTTTTTTTCGATAGTTTTAGCCAGGGATTCGAACCGAACCCGAACCCGGAGAAGTGAACCCGGGTTTTTAGGAAAAAACTCTGAACCCGAACCGAACCTGAACCCCATTTATAAAATTTCCAAAACCCCGAACCGAACCCAAGAATTTTATTTGAACCCGGGTTCAATCGGGTTCAGTGTTTTATTTAAAATCATATATTAATATATGTAAATACAAATATTATATTTTCAAATTTCCAATTAAATGAAGTCTTAATAAATTTTAAACAATTTAATTCATTTATGCCATTTTTAAATTTATTCTCGATTCCTATTGGAGTGTTAAAAAATTTTAAACAATTGAATTAATTTACGCCATTTATTTTTAAATTTTTATCTTATTATTCTTAAAGATTATTAATTAGAAGAAAATGGTTAACAAATCAAAGTAAAAATTATTATATTGTTAATTTAAAAAATTCTAAACATCTAACTTAAAAATTGTTAAATGTAGGGCAGTTTTTGTGAACTTATTAAAATGATTTTAAAATTTATATATGCTAATCATTTATTTTTGGTTCAGTTTAATTTTTACAAGATATTAATGAAGTGCATATTAAAAATGAAATTAAATGTATAAATATCTCTTTTTTAATTCTGAAATCATTGCTATTTAAAAAAATTGTTTTCTTTTTATAGATTTAAGATTAAAGATAAAGTCATATTTGATAAGCATTTTACCCTTAATAAAATAGAAAAAAAAATCAATATGTTCATATTGCAAAGTAAAAATGTCTGGTAATCACTTGTCAAATTTAGAAAGACACCTGGAAAGAAATCACAACAATGAATATTTAAATTATTTAAATGAAAAAACCAAATATCAGGAATTGTTATTGGCAAAAAAACCTAAAATTAATATAGAAACCTTTTTTCCAAAAAAGCATATAAGTATAAATATATCATCTAATGATTTGATGAGTTCTATATTAGAACTTGTTACTGTAAATGGCCGGCCTTTATCAATTATTGAAGATTCGGGATTTCAAAGAATTATAAATCCACTCCTATCTGGGCTCAATTTAGTTATAAACAAAGAAAATTTATCCAGAACTATTAATAAAACAGCCCAATCAATTAGAGACAAAATATCGAGAGAGGTAGAAGGAAAATTAATAAGTTTAAAAGTTGATGCAGTTCAACGACTAGATAGGTCAATTCTTGGTGTAAATATTCAATTTATATCAAAGTCCATTATAAATTTGAGGCTCTTGGAATTGTAGAGCTGAAAGAGAGATGTACAGGAGAATATATAAAAGAGAATATATTAAAAACTTTACTAAAATTTAAAATTAATATTCAACAAATATACACAATTACTTCTGATAATGGTTGTAATTTTTTAAGAGCTATAAAGCTCCTGCAACCTGAAACTGATTATGATATAAGGAGTGAATCAGCAGATGAGGAAAATATGGATGTAAATGTATATAAATATGATATTGATGATATACAAAATACTTTTTTATCAACTATTATATCCTATCCGATTTATAGTGTACGGTGTGCACACACTTCAGCTGGCACTTCAAGATGCTATAAAATTATCACCTATTGTGGAAACCATTGCAAAAGCTAGGAGCCTAAATTTAAAATTAAGACATCCCACTTACCAAAAGTTATTAAAAAATATGAAACTCCCTAAGCCTGTGTTAGATTGGCACAGATGGCATTCAACCCATGATATGTTAGAAAGGCTGATTTTACTAAAATCCAATATCGAAGATTTTTTTACAGAGCAATCTGATTATTTATTGACTGAAGATGGGAAAGAGATAATAACGATTGTTGAAATTTAAAAACCGCTAAAAATCGCAACCAAACAATTCCAATCTGAACAGTTAACACTGACAGATTTTTATGCAGCATGGTTAAGATGCTGCATCGAACTGGAAAAAAATCCAAACCATTTTGCTCAATTACTATATTCTTGTCTTAAGAACAGAGAAGAAAGGTTTATAAAGAACGAAATTCTCTTAGCTGCCATATACCTGGGCCCAAGATACAAGGTTAATTAAAAGCTTAGTAAATTAATTATTTTAGATTTATATTAAAATTGTTATTTTATGAAATATTTAAATATAAACAATATAAATCCTTAAATATTACAGGTATTACTTAGTGATGATGATAAGGTTTGTGCGAAAAAACATCTTGTCAATTTATGGAGACGAATTAAAAGCTTAACAACGCCAATTTTATCTGATGATATTAGTTCCGATGAAGTTATTGAACAAGAAGATGATTTAGAGAAATTGATATAACTTAAAGAAAGGCAGGAGAAAATACTTAAAAGAGGGCCAACGATTGCTGAGAAAAGTATTGGAACAATAATTACTGGATTTAGCGATTATATAAGATTAGATAAGAAGGAAAATATTTTGCATTTTTGGGAGTCTGCTAAGCTGGAACACCCTGAATTATATATTTTATCTAAAATCTTATTTGCTGTTCCTGCAACCCAAGTTAATTTTTCATATTTTCACATATAAATACATTTAACATAGGTTAGCGTTGAAAGATCTTTTTCACATTTGAAATTCATTCTTTCACCACATAGATCGAGGATGAGTGAACAACTCTTGGAAGATATTATGCTAATACGTCTAAATAAAATTTTTAAAAGATACATGACTATATGCTTTGTATTTTTAACTATATTTGCCTATAAATAAAATAAAAAATTTATTTTTTATATCAAATTTATGTCTAGTTTTTTATTATGATTTAAATATAGAATTTTTTTTATCAACTCAAAAATTCTTGAACCCGAACCGAACCCGAACCAAACCCGGGTTCAAAAATATTTCCCTGAACCGAACCCGAACCGAACCCAACTTTTTTTTTATACCCCGAACCGAACCCGAACCGAACCCGGTCTAAAATTTTGTCGGGTTCGCATCCCTGGTTTTAGCCATAAAATATTAATTTAATAATATTTTGTGTTTCCGCTCTTAGCCACGTGGAGGCAACTATCATTAAGAGCTTTTGGTCTTGGTTAAAAAACAAAAAAAAAATACCAAGACCAGGACATAGGAAGGTTTTACCCAATTGAAACCTAAATATGACCTTATGAATTTTAAGTTATTTATTACAACAGTATTTATACATAAAAAGATACAGAATCCCTTAATTTATTTAACAAAACTTTAAATTATTTATAAAGTGATCAAATAACAATACAGCATTATATTTATTAATTAAAATTAAAATATTAAAAATTTCTCGTTCTTTCTGCTTTCTTTTGGCCTCAAAAAACTTAATTCTCTTCCTTTTGAAGTTATTAACTTACTTTTCATTTTTTTACAACCTGTAATTAAAATATCTAATGCTTTCTCTCGTTCATACATATTTAATTCATTCCACTTATTACCTATTTTATACTTCTTAAATTCATCTGCCAAATAAAATTCTCCCATACCAACTAACGATCTTTCTAATTCGTGTCTTTGCATGATTGTAATTTCGTGTAATTTATTTATTAAATTTAAAAGAGGGCAATGTTTCCAATTTGTTATAGATTTAAAAACATGATTCATAGACTCACAATTATTGTTGGTCCATAAATCACAAATTATTTTATTTTTTAAGGGATTATAAACATATTCAAAAAGATTAGATTTATTTAAATAATTAAGAAATTTATTATAATTTAAATTTTCACAATATTTTACTAAGGAGTCCATTCTATAATTAAATGTTTCATCACTATCTGCAAAGACTACACCCTCTCTTGAAAATAATTTAGAAATTATATTATTTATCTTGGTTGCATTCACACCTTGCTTATTTTGTAAAAACGATTTAATATTCTTTTTAAGATGCTGAACACATAATAAATGGGTAGATTTTTCAAAAACTTGCTTTAAACTTTTAATTAAAGATAATTCTTCATCAGAACCGAATATTAATTTATTAATATTTATTTTATTTTTAAAAAAAACGGATTTTAATTCAGAAAAAAATTTAGAAAAGGTAGACGTATCCGAATCCGCATGTAAAAAAATTGGACCTAAAAATATAGGAAAATCACCAGTTTTAGCTCTTCTGACACATTTATGCTTAAAAACTAAAGATGTAACGTAAAGATCGCCAAGATTAAAAGTTTTATCAATACCTATAATGCTCTGATTATCAAATGAGCACATCAATTTTAAATTTTTAATCATAAAAGGAGTGTATAATATTAAAGACGGGACTTTATCTTTATCATGTATAATTACCTGGATAAAGGGGTGGGTATGAATTTGATTAATAATTTCTAACATATTATCTGCAAAATTAGGATAAATTTTATTTGATAAATTAATTTTATTTTTAATATTGTATATTTGTTTAATATTTCTTGGTGAATTAAAAATATTATTATTTCTTATTAAATCATTATATATAAATCTAGTAGGTTTTTGCATATTTATAGAATTTTTAATATTATCAATAACACTAGCTGGAGTGCGAATATAAGAATTATCAGATTTTTTTAAGTTACCATGACTAGCGGGCCCTGGATAAGTCCCTATATATTCGACAAGAAAACAATTATAAAAAATTAAATGTGATGATTCTATCATTGGATAAATGTAACTTATTTTTCTTTTAAAATTTTTAGAAGCCTTTAAAACACTGTAATATCTATGTAAAATTGCTATTTTATTTTGATCAGGGCGTGGTATGATTAATTTTAATATTCGTTTATTTTCAATTTTAGTATCTTTAAAAAATTCATTATTTTTATAAATTAAAGGTCCTATTGTATGATTTTTTTCAAGAATATAATAAGATTTTAATAATGGAGATTTAACCAGTCCAAGGCCCACAATCATCAAAATAAAGAGATTTAGTAGAGTTATTATTATTTTTATTAATTAAATAAAATTTATTATTTTTACAACCTCCAGGTATGTTTGATAAAATATCTTTTGGATTTTTTAAAATATTTATAGCATCTAATACATTTAAAAATTTACCGTAATTTTGATTATTAATTATAATTTCATTATTGTTTAAATTTAAAATTTTATTAATTGAAAATTTTTCCGCAGATGGATCGTAATTATTTAATATTTTATTTTTAAAAAAGTTGTCACTTATATTGTCATAAGATAAATCTTGATTAAACTCATCTGCATAAGAAATTGTATTTATATTATTAAATGGTATAGATAATGTTATATCTGAATCAGAATCTACACAAGACATATCGTTATTATTTTCATTAACAACAAAAGTATCATTTTTTATATCATTATGAGGTAAAGATAAAGTTGAATCTAAATCGCCTAAATTATAATTATCATTAACACTTAAATCAGAAGAATTATTAAAAGATAGATTTTTTATATTATTAATAGGTAAAGATAAATCAAAATCGACGAAATTATTCTCTATTATTTCATAAGATATATCTTGTGTAGACTCATCTATAATAAAGGAATTATTGTTTTTATCATTAAAAATATTATCTTTCTTAATCTTTACATCTTCAAAAGGTGGTTGGGCCGATAAAATGGGTTTTAACAAAGCAAAATGGTTAAATATATCATTTAAGTTATAAATTTCAGAACAACTGGACCACATTAGTACTAATTTAGACGGGGTTTGTTTTCTAACACCCCGTCCATATATTTTCATTGTATAGGGGTTTTCCATTAAAAGATTGCCATTAACAGGAGGATAAAAAGTAGAAATTGGTAAATTAATGGCAGCACTTATAGCGTATAAATGCATTGTCTCGGCCCAACCTCCTATTCTTAAAATATCACTTAATAAATTGTCATAACTACTTATTATAATATAATTACTAATAATGATTTCATACATGGGATCTTTGGTGTCGTATATATGTCTAAAAAGAATCATTTCTATTCCGGCCACAAGTCTGATGTATAGATGATACTTTTCATCTCCAAAAAGACCCAAAGATACAGCTCTATATGCACAATTACCATCTGAATCAACCTTTTATAAATGAAATTTATAATTACATATGGGTAATATAATATATAAACTTAATATTTAGTTGATGTATATATAATTACCGTCTTAAGTAGCTAGAAAAGCTATATTATAAAAATCAGGGTTTCGAACCGAACCGCCATACCGGAATTAACCGTTATAATTTTATGAACCGTTACCGTAGCCGAACCGTTATAAAGAAAATATAAAAAGAGCGAACCGAACTGTTATAAATATTTTAAACCGGTTTAAACGGTTCAAAACGGTTTTAAAAAATAATTAATTTTAAACCATTAACCTAAATTTGAAATTTGAATTTTCCTTGAAGAAATTTTTTGCCATACTTTTAGTTTCTATTCTGCAATAAAATAAATTTGAAAAATGTCGTTTTGGCTCAGCTATATATCTCGACCCATTAATAAAAATATCTATTTGATTATCGTAGTTAAATTAAATAAGAAATTATAAAAATATAAATTAAAAAGATTTTTCTCTAATATTAATATATATGGTTTATGATTAAATTTTTTTTAAAATCAAATTTATAAGAACCGGAACAAACCGATAAGAACCGTTATAAATTATAAACCGAACCGAACCGAACCGAACCGATATGAATTTTTTCAAAAAAAACCGAAATGGAACAAAACCTTTATAAAAGGGCAAAATAATAATATATAATATACAAAAATAGTAGTATATAAATAGTCATAAATTATATTATATTACCTTTAATGGATTATACCGCGTAAGTACCTGAGCTTGTGTCAATCTTAAGATCTCTTCAGCTGTTGTATCTTGTGTGCCAGTAAATTGAGGGAAACGATGGGGTAAAGACTCTCCGTAAGCCGAAATTTTAGTCAATATAGCATTGGCATTATCCTCTGTTGGACATCTAGATAATCTTAAAGAAATGATGAAAATTTTGGTATTTAGAAAATAAACCCCGAAAAAATTATATATAGTATTTATTATATGAAATATAAAATTAATTTTACTTACTTATTAATTAATTTTTCAATATCCATAATTAATAAGGATAGTAAATTTTTAGGTAAGCCAGTTAAGGAATATGGAAGGATGCTAATGGAGTCGTTTTATTGTTTTATTTTTTTTGTTTATAAATTTAGAGTTTTTATTGTAAGAGAATAAATAAAAAAACATTTTTTTCAGACGGATAATAATTAAAAATATGAAAGAATAATTATGTCGGTGATTTTGTATGGAAGTAAATAATATTTTCAACAATTTAGAAAAAAAAATTATAATAAACAAATAAATTAGAATCGAATAATGTTTGAATTCGTACGAATAATAAAATCTACCATTGCATTCGATTCGAATAATTGAAATTAATTTTCTTAATAAAATCTTACTCAAATATATTGACAAATTTTTTTATTGTTAATTTGATTTCAAACAGAAGGTGGAAATTTTTTGGGATAAAATGACAGGGCTAAAATACCTGAATTTTACGAAAATATTTGAAAAGGTTAATAAGATGGGGAAATAAATGATTTGGGATATCCCTTCAAGTGCCTATTTGTCCTCTATATTATTACCCAACATTCATAATTAAATGAATATACGGTAATTAATATAACTTTCTCTCCCAGAAATAAGAACGCTAAAATTCATTATGTATAGTGTTGGTCGCACAGTAGGTTTGTTATGATTATATCAAATTCATCCCAATCATATCAACCACTCTTGGCACCTTCGGCAAACTCGCCTTAGCATTTTTCAAAAACTTAGGATCACAAATCAGCAAACTCTCAGAAGAACCACGAGAGGGTTTTTTTCTTCGTCAACGATTATCCATAGCGATTCACAAAGCTAATTATATCAGTTTCTTCTGAGTTTAATGATATAAAAATACCTAAAGTTAAACTTAAGATGTTAGCCTTTTCCCTTCCAACGTTTTTACCAAAAAAAAATTATTAAAATTTATTTTTTGAACCGATAACGTAAAAAATTACATCAAAGCATATTTAGATAGGAAATTTAATTCTGAGTTCAATGATATAAAAATTTATAAAATTTAACTTAAGATGTTAGCCTTTTCCCTTCGAACGTTTTCGCGACAAAATGTTATTTTTTGAACCGGAAACGTAAAAAAATACATCTAAGCATAATTGGATAGGAAATTTAATTCTGAGTAGAATGATATAAAAATATTCAAAATTGCATATAAGATGTTAGCCTTTTCCCTTCCAACGTTTTTACCACAAAAAAATTATTAAAATTTATTTTTTGAACCGATAACTTAAAAAAATACATCAAAGCATATTTAGATAGGAAATTCAATTCTGAGTTCAATGATATAAAAATTTATAAAATTAAACTTAAGATGTAAGCCTTTTCCTTTCGAACGTTTTCGCGACAAAAATGTTATTTTTTGAACCGGAAACGTAAAAAAATACATCTAAGCATAATTGGATAGGAAATTTAATTCTGAGTAGAATGATATAAAAATATTCAAAATTGCATATAAGATGTTAGCCTTTTCCCTTCCAACGTTTTTACCACAAAAAAATTATTAAAATTTATTTTTTGAACCGATAACGTAAAAAAATACATCAAAGCATATTTAGATAGGAAATTTAATTCTGAGTTCAATGATATAAAAATTTATAAAATTAAACTTAAGATGTTAGCCTTTTCCCTTCGAACGTTTTCGCGACAAAAATGTTATTTTTTGAACCGGAAACGTAAAAAAATACATCTAAGCATAATTGGATAGGAAATTTAATTCTGAGTAGAATGATATAAAAATATTCAAAATTGCATATAAGATGTTAGCCTTTTCCCTTCCAACGTTTTTACCACAAAAAAATTATTAAAATTTATTTTTTGAACCGATAACGTAAAAAAATACATCAAAGCATATTTAGATAGGAAATTTAATTCTGAGTTCAATGATATAAAAATTTATAAAATTAAACTTAAGATGTTAGCCTTTTCCCTTCGAACGTTTTCGCGACAAAAATGTTATTTTTTGAACCGGAAACGTAAAAAAATACATCTAAGCATAATTGGATAGGAAATTTAATTCTGAGTAGAATGATATAAAAATATTCAAAATTGCATATAAGATGTTAGCCTTTTCCCTTCCAACGTTTTTACCACAAAAAAATTATTAAAATTTATTTTTTGAACCGATAACGTAAAAAAATACATCAAAGCATATTTAGATAGAAAATTTAATTCTGAGTTCAATGATATAAAAATTTATAAAATTAAACTTAAGATGTTAGCCTTTTCCCTTCGAAGGTTTTCGCGACAAAAATGTTATTTTTTGAACCGGAAACGTAAAAAAATACATCTAAGCATAATTGGATAGGAAATTTAATTCTGAGTAGAATGATATAAACAAAATTGCATATAAGATGTTAGCCTTTTCCCTTCCAACGTTTTTACCACAAAAAAATTATTAAAATTTATTTTTTGAACCGATAACGTAAGAAAATACATCAAAGCATATTTAGATAGGAAATTTAATTCTGAGTTCAATGATATAAAAATTTATAAAATTAAACTTAAGATGTTAGCTTTTTCCCTTCGAACGTTTTCGCGACAAAAATGTTATTTTTTGAACCGGAAACGTAAAAAAATACATCTAAGCATAATTGGATAGGAAATTTAATTCTGAGTAGAATGATATAAAAATATTCAAAATTGCATATAAGATGTTAGCCTTTTCCCTTCCAACGTTTTTACCACAAAAAAATTATTAAAATTTATTTTTTGAACCGATAAAGTAAAAAAATACATCAAAGCATATTTAGATAGGAAATTTAATTCTGAGTTCAATGATATAAAAATTTATATAATTAAACTTAAGATGTTAGCCTTTTCCCTTCGAACGTTTTCGCGACGACAAAAATGTTATTTTTTGAACCGGAAACGTAAAAAAATACATCTAAGCATAGTTGGATAGGAAATTTAATTCTGAGTAGAATGATATAAAAATATTCAAAATTGCATATAAGATGTTAACCTTTTCCCTTCCAACGTTTTTACCACAAAAAAATTATTAAAATTTATTTTTTGAACCGATAACGTAAAAAAATACATCAAAGCATATTTAGATAGAAAATTTAATTCTGAGTTCAATGATATAAAAATTTATAAAATTAAACTTAAGATGTTAGCCTTTTCCCTTCGAAGGTTTTCGCGACAAAAATGTTATTTTTTGAACCGGAAACGTAAAAAAATACATCTAAGCATAATTGGATAGGAAATTTAATTCTGAGTAGAATGATATAAAAATATTCAAAATTGCATATAAGATGTTAGCCTTTTCCCTTCCAACGTTTTTACCACAAAAAAATTATTAAAATTTATTTTTTGAACCGATAACGTAAAAAAATACATCAAAGCATATTTAGATAGAAAATTTAATTCTGATTTCAATGATATAAAAATTTATAAAATTAAACTTAAGATGTTAGCCTTTTCCCTTCGAACGTTTTCGCGACAAAAATGTTATTCTTTGAACCGGAAACGTAAAAAAATACATCTAAGCATAATTGGATAGGAAATTTAATTCTGAGTAGAATGATATAAACAAAATTGCATATAAGATGTTAGCCTTTTCCCTTCCAACGTTTTTACCACAAAAAAATTATTAAAATTTATTTTTTGAACCGATAACGTAAGAAAATACATCAAAGCATATTTAGATAGGAAATTTAATTCTGAGTTCAATGATATAAAAATTTATAAAATTAAACTTAAGATGTTAGCCTTTTCCCTTCGAACGTTTTCGCGACAAAAATGTTATTTTTTGAACCGGAAACGTAAAAAAATACATCTAAGCATAATTGAATAGGAAATTTAAATCTGAGTAGAATGATATAAAAATATTCAAAATTGCATATAAGATTTTAGCCTTTTCCCTAATCCAGTACTCACAATATCGTTATACTTACTATCAATTTAGTTTTGAAAAAAACTTAAATAGAATATACATATAATTTTAAAAATTCCATTATTTTAAAATAACCAAATATAATTTAATTAAAAATATAAATTAATGAAATTAAATAAAATTATAATCGCAATTTATTTCAAAGAATTAATAAAAAAATTGAAATATTATAATCCATTTTTTTAAAATAACCAAATATAATTTAATTAAAAATAAAAATTAAAAATTAAATAAAAATAAAAATAAAACCGCAATTTATTTCAAAGAATTAATAAAAAAATTGAAAAGATCTTAAAATTTCCATTTTTTTAATATATTATATTCCATTTTTTTAAAATAAATAAATATAATTTAATTAAAAATATAAATTAAAAATTAATAAAATTAAATAAAATTAAAACCGCAATTTATTTCAAAGAATGAATAAAAAAATTGAAAAGATTTTAAAATTTCCATTTTTTTAATATATTATAATGTAATATTATTATAATATTTTTCTCGTAAAAAAAGCAATAAATCAATCAAATTACACATTAATCATTTTCTTTGTTATTTTTATTTTCAATAATATTTTTTAGCCTTTCGTATCATGCAGCCTTTCGACTTTTAGACCTTGCGGAAAAAAATATATATTGAAAAAAATATATATTGAAAAAAAAATATTAAATTTAAAAATAAAACAAATTAAAATATAATTAATTTTAAAAAATTATTAATAATATAATATTACAAAAATTACACATTGCCTGATTTAACCCGGCAATGTAATTGCCGAAATAACAAAATTACCCTGCCTACCACTACCTCACATTGCCGAAAATATTCCGGCAATGTATACATTGCCGTATATTTCACATTGCCGCTAACATATATAAATATGTTATTGTAAAAAAATATTTGCAAGTCAAATAATTTTATATGCAAATAAATTAAAAATATGAACATGTTTACCATCATACACAACACTGCAAAGCCTAGTAAACATAACAGTAGCGTACGCAGGAATTTGGTGTGGGGGGGGGGGGATAATTAAAATTTTTTAAAATAAAATTATTGTTATTTAAAAATATCAAGCATAAATTTATTAGGACTAATAACTATTTCTAATATACAAATTTAAATTAATATGAATTATAAAAAATTAATTATATAAACCGATGTATAAAAATAAATTTGATTTAAAAAATATTAAACGAATATAACCGGCGGCATATAAATACTTTAAACAAA